AACCAAATTAGTTTGCAAATGAGTGTATATTTGGTCTCAAGTAGAACATAAGGTTGACGGAAACCCGAAGACTGCGCCTACCTGATGAGCCCCAAGGGGGCGAAACCGGTCGTGGGCTGTCAATGGATTTTCAGCAACCTTGTGAGTAGTACATCACAAGGATATACATGTATCGCAATATTTCAAATATCGTAGCGACTGAAAAATAAGGCGGCCTGGTGTATCACATTCAGTTGCCTGAGAATATCATAAACGACAGATTCGGCTGGGTTCCAGGTGAGTCTCTCGAGAGAACCAAGTAAGTTTGCAAATGCGTGTATATTCGCTGATTATTATCAGTTTTTTCTTGCAACTGGTCATGTGCTTCTCAACTTCACGCTTACACCGCTTTTCTCTTTTCAACTGGGAGCTGCCTGTCCCCCAGTATGTCCCGTTAAGCTAAACCGCCCACCGATTTACATATACGCCCAAAACCCTTCTGCACTTCTGTTTCAAAATCTGTATCCTTCTCATCTTCTCTAACCGCGTAGGAAACAGGAGCGCCTACTCTGTCAGGCGCTTGATCAAATTTCTGCGCTGCAAACACAGATGATATCTACCTTCGCCCAACCGTTCTCCCACCTATTTTAGACCATGTATCAAATGTTCGCCTCACTTTGTAGGTAAAACATCTGATCGGCCTCCACAAAAGAAACCTCGCGTTCCGATACGGCGACCGTGAAGCTACTACGAACAGGATCACCAATGTAAAGTACATTGTTCCCTTCATTTATCTTCACAAGATATCGTCGGTTTAGCTCGGTAGCTATCCGAAGCTGCACACTAACATATGCAATGAGAGTACTGTTCCTTGAAGGCACCAGAACTCATTTACCTACGACTAAATCCCTCGGCGACTCATGACATCCCGAGTTATTGACCGGCTCCTAACTGGTCTTGTTTACCGCTTTTTACCCGCTTCAAGAAATTTGTATGATTGCCAAAACCCTCTTCCCCATACTTAGCCACTTAATCCTAGTAATAATTTACTACCTTTTAGTGCTAACCATCAACACATGAACACTGGTAACCTGGAATTCCGGTTTCAGTCCTGCCTTCCGAGTGACTTTTACACCTGCGTACGACACCAAACTTGTTGAAGCCCGACGATACTGCTCTGCATCTAAAGCTGCTCGCTTCTCGATCTGTATTTTACCAACATACATCCCCTAGTGGATGCAGTCAAGATTAGTACTCTGAGTTTTCGTTAGCATGTTGCGCTACTAAAAAGGTAACAGCAGGAAATTACCATCTATATTCTTAAACCACACCAGCACAACAGCCCTCCAAATAAGAACCTGGTGAGGCTTCAACCATTTAGTCTATTTTGGGCTCCATAGGAACCTGCGTGAGCAACCCAAAAAACTAAATAAGTCAGGTACTACAGCTCTTAAAGAATGCCAGGAGTTCTGCAAAGTCCATGTTCTCGTATTTTCATCACAACCGAAGGCGAATTCAGCGCCGTTGGCAATCCGTGACAGAGGCCTGGCATCCAGGCTTCCTGGCGCAAGGTACCTGTTGCAACTTCATATATATTTAAGATTGCCTCCAATCTTGAATGACTGCCTTCCCGGTTAACAATTCAAATGGACCGCCCTTTTTGGACTGGTGGAATTGAAACCTATTTCAGTTNCTATTTCAGATTTACAAGATATCTATATTCTCCGTTTTTCTTACCACGCAAATCGTTTTTACCGCTCTGGTTATACTATTTTTGTACCAAATCCTTGGGCAGCTATATATTGTTTTAATTCATGAGTTTGAGACGCGGTTTCGTTCACGCGTTGACTGTTCATCCATATCGGCTTTGCTTGCCTTTTGGAGTACCTCACCGTTTGTCGAAAACCGTTGAGGTTTGTAATTTTGTATTCCGTGTAACTACTTTCATTTTTTATAGTACAGCACATTTGCGTAGCCATTCGTTCGGAGTTTTGCCGGTTTGGTTGCTAACCTTGGTGCTCGTTGCTCAAGAATTCGAAACGGTCGTTACAGTACCTACGTGTTTATGCGTCAACTTTCTGCGATGTTCCTAAATGCAAAATATAACTGGTCCAGTTCTATTTAGCGTTTAAACAAATTGATTCCGCGCAAAAGGTTCTCCCAGGCTTGGTGATATCCATCCGAGAAGTTTCATGGAACAGAAAACCACTTTTATATTTTCATGCCCCACACTAACCTCCCTCTTGTAGGCAAATTATTGTGCTCCTACATACAAGGTTTGACTCTGACAGTTATAGACCAGCAGGTCTGTTTTGCATCCCAAATAATATGACAGACTAGATCGTTAGCAGTTGCGCGCGATAATTTTGCAACACTGGATGTTCTACTGGCTTTTCAGCCTACCCGCTCCTGTCCAAACTTCTAACGAACATTTCACCAACACTTTGTATCATCTTAGATTTCTGCATGGCATTTGATATTTTTCCGCGTGACATATCTGTGGGTACTTGGAGCAAAACCTGCGGATTCTCAGTCCGCCATCTCGCCGGTCAACATCGTCCATGTGCAGTGGGTTCCTCTCCCCAGTTGGACTTCACGATTCAAACTCTCCAGGGTGGAGCCACTAGGTACTTCAAGTTCATTTACGGAGCTCTACCTGTGTTGTGTACCACTGCGCCTGGTCTCCCCAATCCCAACAACCTGGTCCATAGGACCGCACCTACTCTAATAGTGAGTGGAGTCCCCGCTATTGATTCACAAATCACCGTCGCGAAATCGTAAACGCATTTTTCAATAGATGAGAAAAACATGCCTTCATGCTTTCAAAAACATCCACGCGCATGAAGTTATTTGTTCCTGAATCATTCACAACCATAAGCATTGATATGAATTGACGCATTGGAAGTGTCGCGCAGATTAGACATTTCCCCCGCTGTGTGACACTCCAGCCCAGTTCAATATTGTTATTATTATTGATCTTCTGCCTAACTCTTTCTGAAAAACTAAACTCCTTGGTCGATGCGTGATTAGGAAAATGCTGGAGTACGTTCGGCTTAGGCTGGATGTACCGGCTAAGACCGGAAGACGTCGTTTTTGTACCCGGAGAGGTTGTCTGTCTTAATTGCCGACTTCTGAACGGATTACGCATCTGAATCAGGCATCTGATTTAAGTTTACCCTCCGGGCCCCTTCTTCGGCGGTCTGTGTGATGGCCATACAAGAGTTCTCACTCGAGCGCTGTTGTTTCACCACTAAATAGGCCACTCGACGCCGCCTTGTCAGCCCTGGCGGTCTTCAACGATTGGCCGTTGTTGTCCTAATATCTCTTATCGTTCCCTAGCTTAGGTCCGTTATCTGAGGCTGGTCTCTTGTTATTTTGCTCAATTGGCGTCTATGCTCCAGTGCGCATGAAACAGAAGTCACCATCTGGATACCATTTATTAACAAAAAAATATCTTGTACCACGCTATTACCCTGTGTAGTGGTACATGTATTATTTCCCATCCAGCCACTGGACGGATCTGCGTCGAGATTTCCACTTCTGATCACTCTTGGCTCTTAGCATTGTGTATGTTCCTCCCCTACCCGTGATACTTATTTTCTGTATTTAACATTTAGGAAAATCGCATGAACGGAGCAAATTGCAATGCACTACCTGTCCGTTTCCAAGGTCAGGTTGTTCCGCGTGGTACGGATTTTGAACTTGTTAACGGGCCGTCGGTTTCGGACGGGGACTTTATACACTGAGGGGCTTGGGTAACGACGTACTCTGTGAGATCCGAGTGAGAGGTGATACACGAATGGTGGAAGGGTGTTTGAAGGTATTGCTGTTTGAGAAGAACTGATATTTTCCCGGGGAATATGTCGCTTCTTTAGAAGGATACTCCTTTTTGGTCTTGGAATGACGTTTTTTTACATTCGTGACAACTAAATGCTGTTGGCCTCAAATTTTTCAAGATTTCAATTTGACGTGGAGGGAAGAAGACGCTTCTGCCTGCCGGCTTGGTCCTGTCTTGTCCATTTCGCCGCACTGGCTATTTCGGATTAGCTGGCAGTATTTTGAACCCGTTCCTTCTGGGCGGGGTTTGTCTACCCAGTCCTATCCAAGTGGCCAAACTAACGATACCCACTGTCAGCAACTTGTACAGCCGGCGTTTCATAAGACTTTATATCAAGCATTGTGTATATGCTGTGGCTAGAATCCTGTAAATTCTACGTGAGTGATCGTTCACTCGAGCTTCGCCTCTCATGTCACGTTTTAGGATCTGTGTCTTTGGAGGGTCGTCAACAACTGATGACAACAAAAATCTTCTGACTTCTGTTCTCATACTCAAAGACTAGCCACAGCCCTTTGTATCATCTTAGATTTCTGCATGGCATTTGATATTTTTCCGCGTGACATATCTGTGGGTACTTGGAGCAAAACCTGCGGATTCTCAGTCCGCCATCTCGCCGGTCAACATCGTCCATGTGCAGTGGGTTCCTCTCCCCAGTTGGACTTCACGATTCAAACTCTCCAGGGTGGAGCCACTAGGTACTTCAAGTTCATTTACGGAGCTCTACCTGTGTTGTGTACCACTGCGCCTGGTCTCCTCATTCCCAACAACCTGGTCCATAGGACCGCACCTACTCTAATAGTGAGTGGAGTCCCCGCTATTGATCACAAATCAGCCGTCGCGAAATCGTAAACGCATTTTTCAATAGATGAGAAAAACATGCCTTCATGCTTTCAAAAACATCCACGCGCATGAAGTCATTTGTTCCTGAATCATTCACAACCATAAGCATTGATATGAATTGACGCATTGGAAGTGTCGCGCAGATTAGACATTTCCCCCGCTGTGTGACACTCCAGCCCAGTTCAATATTGTTATTATTATTGATCTTCTGCCTAACTCTTTCTGAAAAACTAAACTCCTTGGTCGATGCGTGATTAGGAAAATGCTGGAGTACGTTCGGCTTAGGCTGGATGTACCGGCTAAGACCGGAAGACGTCGTTTTTGTACCCGGAGAGGTTGTCTGTCTTAATTGCCGACTTCTGAACGGATTACGCATCTGAATCAGGCATCTGATTTAAGTTTACCCTCCGGGCCCCTTCTTCGGCGGTCTGTGTGATGGCCATACAAGAGTTCTCTCTCGAGCGCTGTTGTTTCACCACTAAATAGGCCACTCGACGCCGCCTTGTCAGCCCTGGCGGTCTTCAACGATTGGCCGTTGTTGTCCTAATATCTCTTATCGTTCCCTAGCTTAGGTCCGTTATCTGAGGCTGGTCTCTTGTTATTTTGCTCAATTGGCGTCTATGCTCCAGTGCGCATGAAACAGAAGTCACCATCTGGATACCATTTATTAACAAAAAAATATCTTGTACCACGCTATTACCCTGTGTAGTGGTACATGTATTATTTCCCATCCAGCCACTGGACGGATCTGCGTCGAGATTTCCACTTCTGATCACTCTTGGCTCTTAGCATTGTGTATGTTCCTCCCCTACCCGTGATACTTATTTTCTGTATTTAACATTTAGGAAAATCGCATGAACGGAGCAAATTGCAATGCACTACCTGTCCGTTTCCAAGGTCAGGTTGTTCCGCGTGGTACGGATTTTGAACTTGTTAACGGGCCGTCGGTTTCGGACGGGGACTTTATACACTGAGGGGCTTGGGTAACGACGTACTCTGTGAGATCCGAGTGAGAGGTGATACACGAATGGTGGAAGGGTGTTTGAAGGTATTGCTGTTTGAGAAGAACTGATATTTTCCCGGGGAATATGTCGCTTCTTTAGAAGGATACTCCTTTTTGGTCTTGGAATGACGTTTTTTTACATTCGTGACAACTAAATGCTGTTGGCCTCAAATTTTTCAAGATTTCAATTTGACGTGGAGGGAAGAAGACGCTTCTGCCTGCGGGCTTGGTCCTGTCTTGTCCATTTCGCCGCACTGGCTATTTCGGATTAGCTGGCAGTATTTTGAACCCGTTCCTTCTGGGCGGGGTTTGTCTACCCAGTCCTATCCAAGTGGCCAAACTAACGATACCCACTGTCAGCAACTTGTACAGCCGGCGTTTCATAAGACTTTATATCAAGCATTGTGTATATGCTGTGGCTAGAATCCTGTAAATTCTACGTGAGTGATCGTTCACTCGAGCTTCGCCTCTCATGTCACGTTTTAGGATCTGTGTCTTTGGAGGGTCGTCAACAACTGATGACAACAAAAATCTTCTGACTTCTG